TTTACAAGCAGTGGAGTGTGAGTCACTTTCATCGCAACTATCGGAGTATGCTAAGGCAAAAAGTTTAGGACTGTTACTTCGACGAAATTGACCACGTCCACAATAACTGTAGCCCTTGAGAAAACTGTTGAGGTGCCAGGACCGACGGCAATCCTTACGCAGTTTACCATCGTTAAGGTGACGCGAACTTTTACAAGCCAGGACCTGATGACACTTCCGACAGTTGAACTCACCAGAAGTGTAACCTCCTTTTCCATTTTCACGGAGACGATGGAGAGTTCTTCTTCGCCATCCATTTCACCGTCAAAAATGTACAAAGAGACTCATACTACGCTTCTCCCATCCGCACCGGATTCCAGCCAAGAGACTTACCCGTCGCCACTCCGTTCAGCCACAGACACTAGTATGACGATTGAGACGTTGGCGACCACAATACCACCGATCCAGCCAAGTTCGGCCATGGAATCGACAAGATCTGGCAAACTTCGTCTCTTCCAGTATCTCCTGGAATGAGTGCTAGCAAATTGGGGTCTTTAGGGGAATCCGCCTCACCCGGTATGGCTAGCACTGACTTGCCAGCCAAATTAGCTTCAGACGATACACAGCAACTTCAACTGACCAGGGCTTTAGTAACAGCAATCAGAATTATTCAGATGACACCTATCATGTCACAACCACCCACAGTCCCAGAATCCGCAGTTCCGGGGGAATCACCTGCTTCGTCAAAGCCTGTGATCAGCCTTGGGGCTTTGCTGGATCTACCTCTTACACTATCGTCAGTAGCGATGGCTTTTTCACCATAGTTGGTATCATTTGGGGTGCTGCCTGAGCATCAAATCGAACAAGTGCGGCTCACAACCAGAAGGAATATTATATTCGCTTCTAGATGAAGCAACCGGTATGCTAATGCTTCTCATTGGCACACCGATTTGTATGATTCAAGATACCTAATACAATGATCGTTTTTTACATCTACATGTCACTCCTACCAATAATAAAAGGCAATTGCTATGTGAACCCACGGGTATGATTCCCCCACGCATATAATAAAAGGCAATTGCTATGTGGACCCACGGGTAAGATTCCCCCACGCAGTGAGCGGGGTGCCGGTATTGGAC